GTGCCAGTGACACCATGTTTTTATTACTTTAATGTTGCACTGAGTTTTGAAATCAGGAAGTGAAGTCTTCCAACTTTTTAAAAAATATATTTTTATTGATTTCAGGGAGAGAGAGGGAGAAAGCAAAACATCAATGATGAGAGAGAATCATTGATTGGCTGCCTCCTGCACACCCCCTACTGGGGATCAAGCCCGCAACTTGCCTGGAATCGAACCCAGGACCCTTCAGTCCACAGGCTGACACTCTATCCACTGAGCCAAACCAACCAGGGCAGGTCTACTTTATTTTTCCAACGGTTTTGTCACTTTTAGAATACAAGTTTTGTACTCAGTAACTTTTTACACCATCTGTCAACTATTCGCTTTGTAAGACAGGACTATTAGGGTGGCTACTTATTCCTCTGCTGTTCTCTCCACCACCCATACCTGCCTTCAGTTACTGACACTGTTCCCACAAACTACTAACCATTACTGAGCTCTCACTAGGCACGTGCCAGGCACTGTTCTGGAAGCTGTACCTGTATTAACTAGTGGAGTCTCATAACAATCAAAGGAGTGGGTGCTATTTGATCACCACTTTGCAGGACAATGAGGCACAGAGGCCAGTCTGCAGCCAGTGAAGAGTGGAGCCAGGACTCAGACCTGGGATTCGACTCCTGCCCTGCCCCTCCCACTGAGCTTCTCACCGCTCCTGCAATGGCCATCAGCCCAATCCTGGGATATGTTAGGTTGAACCATATGAAATGAACTTTTGTGACCCACAAAAAAAATGGTAAATTCACGTGACCCAATTTGTTAAAAAAAAAAAAAAAAAAAGACCTGAGATCTGAAGCAGGTGCCTGAATATTTGTCGCCAGATTCAGATGGGGGTTTTCTCAGGTTCTGCTGTGTCAGGTTTGAACATGCTCCCCAAGGACACACCGGCTGTCGGGGAGCCAAGTGCACCTGAATGGTGTGGCATCTTCTGAGCAAAAGACTGCAGTCTGTCCTGAGATGGGGGACCCGGGGGGTGGGCGTGAGAACTCTTGTGCTCCCTCTAATAGTAAGTCCTACGAGGGAGAAAGGGAAGGTCCCCTCCCTAAGGGCCATGCTACCCCATCTCCCGGAGTCATCCAGCCAGACAAAACCCACCAGGCGCAGGCACCGAGCGAGTGACCTCACACACTGTCTGACAAATCTCTGGGCAGGGACCTCTCCCGATGGCTATGTGGACTTCAGTGGCTGTTTTTCAGGCCTGTCCTGTCACTCCTGCCACAGGTGCACGGGAAGGCAGCCACCTGGTTGGCCGCAGGAGGGGGAACAAGGCCTTGGGCTGTGGACAGGGACTGTGTTCTGTCTCAGAAGCTCGACCTAGAAGTTGTGTTTTCCCAAGCCCAGCAGTTTAGATGGCTGGTTCTGTTCTATTTTGGTCTCCTGCCCAGCTGCTGGGGGTCTCCCTGGCCAGGGAGACTGAACTCTTGGGTTAATTATTGCAGGGTTCTCAGCTGTTCAAAACCTTCTTGGGTGGAAGCCAGAAGTCATGGAACCAGGAGCCAGAGGAGCAGTGGGTGAGGGGACAGCCTTGACAAGGGTTGGTGCCCTCCCAGCCCACCCTGGCTTCCATCCAGTGGGCTGAGGACCCCAGGGAACACAGGTGGGGAGGGGCCTTCCGTTCAGTCCAAGAGGAAGCAACATCTACCCAGAGGCGCTCGCCCCTCCTCGCCAGGTGTGCAGAGTCTGCTGGGCGGGTGATGAGGCTCCGACACTAACCTGCCCCTATGTCCTGGCTGCAGGACACTGGTTTGTTCACAAGGTGCCCAACTCTGGGGACTTGCTCTCTTCTCTCCCCTCCCGTCTGATACAAGGGGGCCATCCTGGGGGCCGTGCTGCTCTGCAGACGTAGGCTGTCCTTCAGATGGGTTGTCCCAAGGTCAAACCATGAATAGAGATGACATTACAAATTTTTTGGACCTCAAAATCCAAATTCATGTTCTCCAATCAGCTTTATCGATAATAAAGTTTATAAAGTGAAAAAAATCCATGGAGGTTAACGCCTTTGGGGGCAGCCTTGAGCCCTCTCTCCTGAAACAGGCTCCAGAACGCTCTGTCCACATGTGCAAGATGCGTAAGTTGGACCAGGTTATGTCCAAGGACACACAGTCATCCAACCCACCACCGAGAGGGAGCGGGCAAGCCACAGACTGGGACAAATACACATCAACAGAAGACTCCCCTCCAGGCTATGTACACAACTCCTAGAAATGAGAAAAAGACAGCCCACTCGCTCAGAGGGGAAGGAAAACGGGCAAAGACTTCAAGAGGCTTCATCGACATACAAACGGCCAGAACAAGGTGCCCAACCTCATTGTTCATCTGAAGCCCGAGTGACCGGCCTCCCACTCCAGGACTGAAAAGGCAAAACCGAAATCTGAGTCTTTCTGACCAGAGGCTCCGTCCCAGAAGGGCTGCCCCACTGGGCGCCCGAGGGAATGAGCTGCCCAGGCGGCAGGGTCGCTTCTCCACAGCACACCCTCGCCCTTGTCCCAGCCTATCCCGAGCTTTGCAAGCCCAAGCTCATTCTGGCCGTGGAATTTGCCTCCGGTTCCCCCCGCCATCCAGGAGGGCCCTCTTCCTTCTTTCTCCTGTTTTTCCGGGTAGTCAGTTATGCCAGCACCACGTATTAACTATTCTATTCTTCTCTAACCACACTGCTATCCCTCAAGCTGCAAACTTCAAGTTAGCTGAGTCCAACAACATATTGAATGTTACGAACAAGCTGAGCAAAACAAAGACAAAATAATATAAATCCATCTACATAAAAATTCAAACACAGGCAAGACTGTTCAGTGAAGTCTATGTAGCTCTTAATGCTGACTGGTTTCCTGCAGCAAAGGGCTTCCTGGCCGGAGGGCAGGCCAGGGTTCTGGCAGTCCTCACCAGGATGTTTGCCTCTGAACTTCCTTAAACCAGACTTAAGCGTCAAGTACGGCTGACCCATGAAGGTGGTTGCTGTGTGGGCCTTTGTTTTCTCCAATGAATACTGTATTTACTTCTATGACCTAACACCTTGTAGGCCACACTTTTCACATGCATCTCAACTATTCTAAAACTGAACTCATCTTTTCCAATTTTCACCTAGCACCCCCCCAATCCCTCTCCCCTTTGGCAACCACCAGTTTGTCCTATGTATCTATGGGTGTTTGTTTATTCATGTTTTGTTTTTAGATTCCACAACATTCCATTGTATATATGTATCGCATCTGCTTTATCCATTCATCTATAGACACCTAGGTTGTTTTCATTTCTTGGCTATTGTAAATAATGCTGCAATGAACTTGGGGTGCACACATCTTTTCAAGTTAGTGTTTTCGTTTTCTTTGGACAATCAGTCATACATGAGTTATTGATGCATCATGTGGTCTTTATATTTTTAAAATTTTTGAGGAATCTAGTTTTACAATTCCATGAGAGTTCTATTTTCTCCGCATTGCCATCACATAATTTTTTGGTGCTAGCCATTCTGACCAGTGTCAAGGCGATACCTTGTGTAGCCACTCCTAATAACATAGTCAATACATCTTTGTGATGACTGAAACTACTTCACTGCATTTCATGCTGCCTGCACTGGGACAGCCTGATCAACTGACCTGCTGTTTCCAATGCTGGTTCCTATTTCTCAAAAGGCCAAGTGGATTAGCAGGGAGCGAGCTCAATCCCCTGAGGCCCCCTTCCTTCCTTTGTTCCCTGTCTGCTACAAGGCCCTCTGCCTGTGTGTGGATTGGCAATGGAGCTCAACCTCCATGGCCCAGTTCATCTGGCCACTTCCAAAGACTTCAGATCTGAGCCCACACCCTGGATGGACCCCAGCCTTCTTCCCAAGTTGCTTGTCCAGACCTAAGAATTCACAGTGGGCCTGGTCTTCTGAACACCTCTCCTACTTAAGCGTCCACATCTCAAGGGGAGAGGCCTTGCTTATTTCTCTCCTGAAATGCCAGCTGGACTCTGCTAATGCTGACGAGGCAGTCACCCATCTTGCTCACTTTGGGCACGCGGAAAAGCAGGTCTGCACGGCAGGCTTCGAGTCCACGTGAATCCAGTCGTTTAACAACATAGTCAGCTGTGACATGACAGGTGACCCATCACTAGCTCCTGGGCCGCACAAGCACGCTCCTGTTTTATGCACACCCATGTTTTAGGAGTGCACGGTGGTTCTCAAAGCAACACTAGACAACTCAATGGAGAGATATAACGCTGACTGCACTGCATCCCAAGATTAGCTTCCCTATCAACGCCAGTGTACTCTACAGAGAACGACGTCTAAGCATTTACTTACTAAGTAGTAAGTAAAGGGGCCTCACAGGCTTTCCTCACTTCTACTCAGCCTCAGAAGAGAAATTCTGGGCTACTGGTTAATATGTACCTAACTAGAAACAGATCTGGCCTTTTCCCATGTGAATTTTACTTCAACTGGTGTTTTGTTTTAGAACCTAAATTTAAAATAGGGTTTCAACTCTGGCTGGTGTGGCTCAGTTGGTTGAGCGTCATCCTATGCACCAAAAGGTCGCCAGTTTGATGCCAGGTCAGAGCACATGCCCAGACTGTGGGTTCAATACCCCATCAAGTGGGTATAGGAGGCAACTCACATCCAGGTATCTCTCTTGTTCCCTCTCCCTTCCTCTCTCTAAAATCAATCAACAGCCCAGCTGGTGTAGCTCAATGGTTGAGGGTTGACCCATGAGCCAGGAGGTCATGGTCAGATTCCTGGTCAGGGCACATGCCTGGGTTGTAGGCTTGATACCCAGTAGGAGGTGTGCAGATGGCTGATCAATGATTCTCTCTCTTTGATATTTCTATTCCTCTCTGAAATCAATAAAAACATTAAAAACAAGAAAAAGTATGGTCTCATTTCTACCCAAAGTGATTGATGTAGATTAATCTTCACTTCAAGGGCTGATGATGTGCAGGTCTGTAAAGGAAGAGAAATTTAAAGTGGAGTTTCCACAAGAAAAAAGTTACAAGAATACTGTTATCACTACAAATTTTATTCAGAAACCCATCTTTGTTTTTTTAAATTGTTTTTTAAAAAAATTCCCATTATGAACTGGTTTGGTCAATCAACTACAACACTTTCTAGCAGACATACGGTAAAAATGGCCTGGCTCAGAATCGCCCAGATCTCTCACGATCTCTTGACCGCCTCCTGTCACGCTCGCGTCCCCCACCGCCTCCGCCACCACCTCCGCCACCGCCACGACCACGGTCTCTAGACCGAGAGCGACGCTCCCGGGACCGGGACCTCGATCGATGCCTGAAACAAAGGGAAAGAAACAAAACCTTGGCATCAAAATGAAAACATGCAACATAAAACCACAGCAACATAAAACCAAGTACTGTATCCCACAGAATCGAAGATGTTAATAAAAAAAGAAAAATGCTGTCAATTTAACTGCAAGCTGCAACTATAATATGAGCCCTAATTTCAGATAATAACGTGTCTGGGGGAAAAGGGCATCTCAGAATTGAGAGGTACGGTGGCCATCAAGCTGATTTCTGGATGGGGAGGGCAGGGTTCTTCCTCTTCTATGTTTGTTTTTGTTGATAATAGGACAGAGTCACAATGTCAGCATTTCCTATCGTATGTTAGGTGAAATCCCTCTGGGGTCAGAACTCAATCTTCATAGGAAAAGTGACTCATTACACCCTCTGACATCGGGTTTCTCTCTGTTTTATGACATGACCGCTTGCATTTAAATACCAGGACCAGACAGATACGACTGCTAGATTCTGCCAGTGGTCCACAGGGGAATGCCAAGAAACCTACCAAGCCCACCAAAACCAAGGCATCCCAATGGAGACATGCAGTATGTGAAGGAAGTGATGACTTTCGACGAAAGAATAGAACACTGCACACAGGAACTCATTTTCATCGATCCCACTAGCCATTTCCTTGGTTAGTTGCTGAGGTTTGATCTTTCCTTAAGCAGTAAAATATGCGCACAGAATATTCTTCAAAGAGCACATTTTAATATAGAGTACATTTTTGTAATTTAAAATATGTACTACATGCCTAGCTGGTGTGGTTCAGTGGTTGAGCAACAACCTATGAACCAGATCACAGTTTGATTCCCAGCCAGAGCATATGCCTGGGCTGCGGGTTCGATCACCAGTGTGGGGCGTGCAGGAGGCAGCCAATGATTCTCTATCAGTGATGTTTCTATCTCTCCCTCTCTCTTACCCTCTGAAATCAATAAAAATGTATTTTAAAAAATTGTTCTACATTCTAAGCAGTGCCATTTATTTATTTATCCATCCATCCTCACCTAAGGATATTTTTTTCATTGATTTTTAGAGAGTAGAAGGGAGAGGGAGAGACAGAGCGAAGCACCAATGTGAGAAACATCGACTGGTTGCCTCCTGCATGCCCCTGACCAGGGCTGGGAACCTGCAACTAAGGTACTTGCCCTTGACCAGAATCGAACCCAGGACCCTTTGGACCATAAACCAACACTCTATCCACTGAGCCAAATCAGCTGGGGCCTAAGCAGTTCCATTTTAAACAGAGATGACATTCAGGCCAAACTTTACTTAAAAACTAATAAGTAAAAATAATATATATATTTGGGACCCCCCCCCCCCCCCACACACACACACGCAAAGGAAGTGACAGAATGGACACACTGAAACACTCACTTCTTGCGCCGGCGCCCATACAGCTCTCGCCGCAGCTCTCTGGAAATGGGCTTCAGATGCATGAAGTTGCAGAAGCCGCCTCGTGTACACTCTCTGGAGGGGAGAACCAGATGAACATCACACCGCATAACCACGCCCTTCCTCTACCTCCCTAGCGGGCAGGCTGTCCATATCTACCCCATTTCATATTGGCGGCAACAGGCTTCCCGGAAGTCGGTCACGGGGGAAAGCTCAGCGTGGATGGGCTGCCCGTTGAACCAGCGGTTGTTCAAATCAATCACAGCTTTCTCCGCATCTTCTTCACGGCGAAACTGAAAAGACAACAAAAATGCTTGCCGTCACACTTTAATAACACATTTTCAATCATTGATCCAAATATATGCTGTGCACTTATGCAGACAAAGTAATTAAGGTGGAATAATATAGTGCAATCAAAATCAGACAACCCTCAATTTACAATTAGACTATTTAACCTTGTGATGGTCCAAAATCATGCCAAATACGTTATCTTGATTTTCCAATTCAATTGGTTAAAAGAGCAAATGTAATGATTTGTGTAGGCAATAAACATTATTTAAAAAAAAAGAAAAAAAAAGGCCTGGCCTGTGTAGCTCAGTGGTTGAGCATTGACCCATGAACCAAGAGGTCACCAGTTCTGTTCGATTCCTGGTCAGGACACATGCCCAGGTTTCGGGCTCAATCCCTAGTGGGGGGTGTGGTGTGCAGGGAGCAGCCAATTGATGTTTCTCTCTGTCCCTCTCCCCAGTTCAAACAGCCTCTAACCAACAGGTATGAAGGTGCCCGACCTGAAAGGATGATGCAGGACCCTGGCAGCCTGCCCTCCTCCCTGCAACCACAGGCCGGCTCCAGCATGTGCACAAGTTCAAGAGCAAGGAGCATTCGGGCAAGGTTAAAAGCTAAAACAATAAGGTGAGCATTCCTTATCCTTCCCCCAAACTCCCCCCTGTCACCTTCCACGTACCTTCACATACACGTTTCCCACGAGGTGATCTCCAAGGTTATCACAGACATTCATCTCTTCCACCTCGCCGTACTTCTCCTCCATTTCTGTGAAAACCTCCTGGAAGAAAAACGGTGGTTTAAGGATCATGATCGTGTTAAAGATAAAAGACGAATTGAACACAATGAATCTTTTAGTATTTTTATTAATAGAGACAGATTTTAATTCCCCCCAAACAGATAAAGGTGAATAGGTCTATCAGTCTCAAATAGTTAATCTCACCTCAAAAAACTCATCATAGTGTTCCTGCATCTCGACATCGCTCACGGCACCTGCAAACAACAGAAATCTTGCTGGTTAGCGCAGGGGCTGTGACCAATTAAAACTTGTGCTTAAATCAACCTGCTACAGTGACACACATTAGATTATCTAAAGAGAGAACCCGACAGAAGTGTGTTCTACTGGAGCACTGACGAGACTGCATCACAAGGTCAAGTGTTAAAATCTTAAAGTGTGGGGAGACTTTTAAATGCCCTATGACAGTCTCCATTCTGGCTATTAAAACCACACAAGTTTTAATCAGCATCAAAGGGTCACATTTTCATACAGTATCTTAAGGAAAAGTTGCTCAAAAAAATTTTTAATGAAAAAATTTAAAAAAGAGGCCAATTAATGCTCCTCCCCCCACCGCCCAATTAGGTTACAATGAAAGCTGAATCAGGGTGAGTGATTAAAAGCTTATGCTCCTGACTCGTTTCTTTCAGTGGTTATCAGCCACACAGATGCTATAAAATTATTTCTGATGCGATTAAAACCCAAATGACCATAAATACTCAGTAGGACAGTTACCAAGTTCCATTACAGTATTTTGAATGCCCCTTGAGTAAATGGAAAATTACAATACTTTGTTGAAGAAAGCATTCTTATTTTCTATTTTCCTCATTTACTTTTTCATAACCTACATGCACTAAATGAAATCATGCATATTCTGTGGGTGGATTTTACACATTTCCCTTCTATCTTCATTATCACCTCTTTTATCAATTTTTAAAGTTCTCCTAACCTAAATCTGAGAAGTCACCGAGCTGGTGTGTCAATAAACTGATATTCCAAACAGTTGGCCCAGGGAGCCCAGGAAGCCGAGAGGCTGTTAGGCTGGGCCAGGCTCCTGGACAAGTGGCCTCCCCTGGGAACCCACTGAGGGACCTGAGCTGTGGCACAGGGCTCTCTACCCAGACTGCTGTCTCTGAGCCGGTTCCTACATGACTTGAAAACCTTTTTATCTTTGATGGTAAGAACTTTAATCTTTCGATTCTGAAAATGATTTAAGTTTACTTTCTAACACTTAGCCCCCCTGCATATTGGTTGAGTTTATGGAATCCAGCTCAGTTTAGAACCCACACTTACTGAGCACAGGCAACTACTACTCCTCTTGATGGCCCATCCCAGTGGGAGGCAATCAGGAACATACCTCCTCCCTGAGGAGAGACAGGTTCCAAACGGAGGAGCCGTTCCAAAGGGCAGGCAGTGCTTAAACTCACTCCTTCCCCACATCGAGAAAAGCAAGAAGAGGGAAAGCCTCTACACCCTCCGCTTGAGGAGCACTGACAATCCAGTCGGGTGGCGGCTCTAGTACCAGCTGATCATGACCGTCCTATTCTGTTCTTTATAACATGGAGTATTATATTTCCGTAACTTCTAGGAAACTATTTAAAAATGCTTGAATGTGGGCATATTTTATCTTTTATAAATTTTTGAGTCAATCAAAATGACTTGAAAGGCAGAGATGAGTGATTAAAAACTATAAACTAAAACATAATTTACATGACTCAATCTATTTTAAGTAATACAACCTGAAAAATACCGAATTTTTGTACAGAAACATTCTTAAACTGGGATTCACTATTAAGTGTAACCAAAGCACAGAAAACTTATTTTTCTACAGATGAATGGATATGGTCAAAAGAACCATTAGTATTAGGAAAACTGATGAACCCAGCTGACTGAAATTTACTGAAAGGGTCTGATGCCAAATATTTCAGGCTTATCAACTTAAATTGATTTTTTTTAAACTGCAGAATCAGAATCTCATTTAATTTATACAATCTGGACCCCAGAACTGGAATATTCGATATAGCTAAACTTTTATTTTGTAGCATATGCAGAACAAGAGCCCTGTGAATCACAAATAAAGACACCAAGAAAACTAACACAACATTCTTTTGCCAATAAAGAACCCGCAGTCCCCAAGTAAACAGGTAGGGCAAAGAACTGTGAATTGTTGTTACTCCATTATCTACTTGTCACTCATTTAATTTTAAGTCCATATATAAACATTTCCCTCCATCTAATTGATCTTACTTCTTAAGAGAACAAAACAAAAACCAGGTATTTTAAACCATTGGCTACTAATCAATCCTGCCACCCTCACATATGGGAAAAGACTTCTCTACTGTCAGGTCAGTATTAGCAACTCAAAACATTTAGTGTCTGGGAAGAAAAACTTGACAAGACAGCCCCACCCTGCAGACATGGGAGCTCCTGTGCGTGCAGGTATATAACTGGGAGACCTCCAGTGTGGGGCAAGGAAGCGTGGGTGGTGGCTGCTGGGACCATCCCACCCAGAGCAGGCCACCCATAAACGGACGGCTCTGGGCCAAGGCTGCACTGGAGTTAGGTCTGTGCTACCACGTTACCTTTGCTAGCGTCTTCTATTAATGTTCACAGCTTTCAAACAAACTGTGGCTTGGACGCCTTGATTTTAATAGGAGGCCAGGATGTTCGTTTCAATTTACCCCCAGGTGACTACACTGATCTACAGCTCAACAATTCTAAAAATCTGTTTTAGTTTTTTGAATTTTCCAATGATTCTAATATATATCCCGTTCTTGACAACGTTCAAAACTTAAACTGTCTACCAAAAGAAATCAGTAATGTCTACTGAGTGCCCAGTTTAGATCTATTTCCCCACCAAGTACCCCACATTTTCCAAATGCAGTGAACTACCTCCTGAAGTTGGAGATACCTACATAAAGTATTCCGGTTAAAGACTGAGTGAGCACAGGGCTGATGCTGAGGAAACTTAGGGGTCACTGCAACTTGGGACCCTTGCTTTGGAAACATTCCCAGAACAATGCTCTCAGAGCATGAGCTCCAAAATAGAGTTTAAGGGGGAAATGTCTAATAAGAAATAAAAATCTGAAAAGTAATTTCAGAACAATTTTTTTTAGGAGAGAGAAACTTTCAAATACTGTTGCTCTCAGAGGGACGAACACAACTCTACACTTAACTCCATGGAAATTCTCCCCTGGGATGAGAGCCAAGGTAAAGGAGAGAGCGGCAGCTCCAAGCTATTGTAAAGGGTGCCCTTCACAGACATCTTTTTGCTTTTTAAGTAAGTGGGCAGCGGTTCAAATCTCTGACAGAGGTTTCCATGGGGTCAGGGTCAGTGGGACAAAAGCTCTTGACTCTTCTAGTGGAAGCGGCAGACCAGGTGGAGTGGACGCTGAGCTCTGACACGTAAGCCCAGGGAACCAGGGAAGGAACTTGTATGAACTTACAGCGCAAACCGTCAGCAGACTGGGAAGAGTTTTGAGGGTTACGGTAAATGTTCAAGAGGGCAATGGTCTGAAATACAAAACGCAACAACTTTATATTATGGAAAATTAAATGTAAACACTTAACCGGCTTCCTGTGGCGATCGCTTCAGTCAAGACTCAGTGCTGAAAAAAAGCAAGTTATTTCTTTCGATGGAGAGATGTTTTCGTAGCTGATGGCGGTCTCGGAGCACCCTAGCACTGCAATGCAGAGATCTCATGATATGCCAGTATTGTATTTCTGTTCACAGAGCGTAAACATTCTCCATTTCAAAGTTTCAAGCCAGGTAAGAGTGCAAATAACTCAGCAGGCTACTACCAAAACATTCTTAGAAAAACTTTCAATGGACAACTGGGAAAGAAAAGTGCCCATATGAACCAATGACACAATTACTGTATTAGAGAAATACAATAATTACATATCATGAAATCTCCATTTCCTAGAAGAAAAATCATAGTTGAAATAAACCCACACTTATTGGGCAACTTACCTTATTGATTCCTAAATATTCCTAAAATTATTAGTTTTATAGAAAGAACTTAATAAATGCCCGGGTTCAGTCATTGTAAAGACCAATGATGGCTGATAATGTTAAAATGTCACATGGACAGATCCCTTCTTGTTAACAAATGTCAATCAAGGGAAGAGACCTGGTCAGCGACCTTCCCTAGGACAGCCTCCTGAACGCAGCCAAGTATCAAGTCCTTGCTGTATACGCCAAGGACTTCCACCACCTTGTCCTGTTTGCAACAGCTCTATGTCAGCAGCTCAGAAGCCAACATTATGTGTCTCAATTAAGAGTGGGCTCTTTAACACCATTGTTTTAAAAAAATTTCTCCAACTGTGGGACTTACAGTGTGAGCCGTCAGCCGTCTGTGCACTGTTTTGGGGATTACGATAGATGTTTTGAATCAAGATGGTCTGCGGGGAAAAAAAAATAAAAAGGGGAATTCTACTGGCTGCTGTGCATATATTAGACAATTGCAAAGAGACAACTTGTTTGCAAATGGCTCAACGCTTGTATGTTTGTTTCCCGCAAGTCACACAATTGTCTTCTGAAGAGTACACCCAAACCATCATATTATGAAAACAGAGTTTGAGCAGTGACTTAGGTCAAGTCAGCCAGCAACCAAGAAAAAATAATTGTTACTTTGAGTAGTCCCACATTCTAAAAATGTTTTAATGCAAGATAAATAACAGGACATTAGCATTTTCCTACACTTCAAGTTAGCAGACACTAAGATGTTGAAAAATTTACATTATAATCATATTCCCCATACAAAATCCTTTTAAAAAAAACAAATGCATAACCCAACTATATGCAGTCCATCCAGCTCTCTGGTCTCGTAGGAAACAGCACACCAAATGGTTTCCTAACTGTCCCGGACACCTATCAGATTGACATTTTCTTGGTGGGATCTCTGTTTACATAATACAATAGCTTAAAACATTTGCTCTTTTCCGATCCTTCTTAAGGGAATAAAATCCTTTTTAGCCCTTCTGCTTTAAACTGGATCAGGCAGACTTGAAACCTTACATTGTACCGTTCTTCTTAAAATCAAGTTGTCTGAAAAAACAAACCATGTTTAAGTTAGTAGACTAATATATTACATGAATCTTAATGTCCACATCACTGTAAGAAGCGTAAAAAGAAACCCACATTGAATTATGCTAGATATTTACAAGCTGAACCAATAAAACACGATTTAGAAAAATAAATGTTCAGTTTCAACATATGTCCAAAGCAGTTTTGTAAGTGGCTTTACAGAATGAGCCAGTTCCATTTCCAGCTATGTTTAAAGGGGAGGGATTGTGTAAACACTCCCCAGTCAAAGGCCTGCTGCTGGGAAACCCACTTGCAAGAACTGCCCACAGCAGGCAGCACCCCTGTGACAGGCAGCCCCTCCACTCAGGGCCTGAGCACTGCCCAAGACAACCTATCCCGGGCCTCGGATGTTTCCCAAAGCCAACTTCATATTTTCAACTGGAATTACCAGAGTATGACAATAATGGGAAGCTATACTGAGCCCAATTATTCAACAGGAAAATTAATGTTAAGTTTCACTGAGGTAACCTGGCAGTGGCTGTTTAGGAAGAACTGTCATTTAAAAGGGGCAATGCAGTTCCACTAAGATTAGGGGTGGTTAAGATTATCTAAAATCAGCCAACCAAATCAAAATACGACACTCAAGTTAACAAATACAGATGACGCCATCAAACTTTAATGGAATCATTGCCTTGTTTTGATCCAAAGTGCTCAAATTAACTTGACATTAACATACTGAGGTAATCAACTGTGGGGAAGCACTGGACTTGGTTGGAAAGTTTATAAGGAAAAAGCCCCCAAAAGGTCGGGGGCCTCCAGGGAGAGATGGCCAACGGTGGCAACCCCTGCCTTGACTTTTCCAAACAAGTCCTATGCTTCCCCACAACCAATGATTCAGAAAGAAAAGAAGCCAGGTGTCTCTTGGTAGCTTAAAGAAAACTGTAACAGGGGACAATTTCTTTCTCAACCCAACACTTGGTACATCTGTAAGCAGCCCTCCAAAATAAAATACTCCGGGGATACTTAAAGTGCTTGGTTACTGCCCAATCTACGGCCACTGGCTTAGTGGCAAAATTCAATTATAAATTAAAGCACTTAAAAAAATTAGAACAGAAAATTTAAAGCAAATTCTCCAATATTCTGAAACTTGAGACATGTTCAAAGCTACTAAGATAGATTTTTATTATACTAATCACTTGGTAATCAGGAATGATGGGGGGAGGGAAGCCATCACACCCCCCTTCTAAAAGCAAGTTAAATTGTGGGGTGTTCTATGGGCTTAAATTAGAAAATACCAATGTCTCTTTCTTATACCAATTGAACTCAAAGTAGAGTCTAGCAGTTTCCAGAGGTAGATACAATAGTTACCCAATAGTAATAAAATCAAAAAATAGAAGTTGCATGTTCAGACTTCATGGGCGGTCAGAAGGAGATCAACAAATTTTTCAAATTCCAAACATTCTGGTAAACATGGGCATAAGTTTCTGTTAGTATTAGAGGTGCATTCATTCTCCCTTTAATACATCAGTGATCACTTACAGGGTACAAAGTCTTGCCTTTTCTTCGGTTAACCAAAAATATCAAAAATCTAAATGTTTAAAATTAAACCAAATCATAGCCAACCTAAACCCAAGATAACAGGCATCTCTCAATTAACAGAATAAAACTGGCCACAAAACACTGAACTGAATGCCCATCTTCTAGTGTTAAGTTTCATTTTTAATGTTTCTATGTCATGATGCAACTTGCTGTTGCCTTGACTAAGGGTCTAAGACAGGGAACACACCAGGCCTGGAGAACCGAGGGCAAGGCAGTCACCCCAGCCTCTCCTGTAAGGTGGCTGCCTAGGGAGAGCAAAGAACAGAAAGCCCGCTTTGCACCTCCCGTGCCTGGAAGAGGCTCAGTCAATGTTGGCAAGGCTGCAGGGTGGGTGGTAGGGCAAGGGCCTGTCCTAGCCCACATGCACATACTAAAACCTTCTTTTAAACAGGTTTCTCTAGTGATAAAAACAGGGGATGATGCTCTCAGACCTTCCACTGGGGTGACTCACCTGCCTCATCCATTGAAACAAACGAACATGCTATGCTCACTTATGAACATAAATAGGAAATAAAACAACTAGAGAAATAAAGGTCCCCTTTATACATGGAAATTATTAACTGGCTCTGTAAAGTACAAGTTTTGATAATTTACGTGAAAACAGGAAAAAAAAAAAGAAAAAATAAACAAACCTGGCTAAAGGTTGGTTTATTGTGCAACCGAGAGCATCTGTCTCCATGACGACATGCTCCAATTTTGAAATAAAATGAACAGTTGACTCTGTAATGAAAAATAAGAGCAGATTATTTTGCTGGGAAGACATCAAACAGATGGAACTACGTCATCAACATGAGACATGCTATCAAATGACTTCCCCAAAATATAGGCACATTATTTTTGATTGGTAGCAGGGCCCCCTCCCCCTTCCTACAGAGAGGAAGGAAGAGGGATAGAGAGTTAGAAACATTGATGAGAGAGAAACACCAATCAGCTGCCTCCTGCACACTCCCCACTGGGGATGTGCCCGCAACCAAGGTACATGCCCTTCACCAGAATCGAAATATTAGTCTAAAACTAAATTTAACTTAAAATGTATCCCAAACCGGTTAGGGCAGGCACATTATTTTTGATACAGTGTAATGAGGTGAAGGTCCAGATCCCGACTCTGCTCCTAGCTGCCTGGGCTTGGGCAAATCACCCCACCTTTCAGGGTTTCATTTGAAAAAATGAGGAAAATGCCAACCTGGCACTGTTCCAAGCATCAGCTGTAAGTAAAGTAGGTGTGCGCCATACACAACATTCATTTAAATGCAATCATTATTTAAATAAACCAGCCAAGCCGGCTGGTGTGGCTCAGTGGTTGAGCATTGACCTATGAACCAGAAGGTCATGGGGTTCGATTCCCAGTCAAGGTAAATACCCGGGTTTAAGGCTCCATCCCTAGTAGGGGAAATGCAGGAGGCAGCTGACCAATGATGTTTCTAACTCTCTCTCCCTTTCTGAAATCAATAAAAACATATTAAAACAACAACAACAACAAAAACAGAAAACAAAGTCCAGGGTCTCTCACCTATGATACCAGACCAACAGGAAATTTCCAAAAACAGGTCTGAAGTAAATAATTCTTCTGGTTTCCATATACTGAAAACAAGCTATTGGGGAACTCAACCTGCACTTGTGTCCCTATGGCAAAGCTCTCCCTTAATACCAATCAAATATTGGATGGCCCAGAACAAATTAAAACTAGCAATCCAGCCAGCATGATAGCAATGCCAGGTGGCTTAGCAGATCTGTGATGAACTATGAAATCTTAGTAGATGAGTCCCATTCAAATTCTCACTTGCCCGGCTGGTGTGGTTCAGTGGTTGAGCATCCACCCATGAACCAAGAGATCTCCGGTTCCAGTGCCAGTCAGGGCACATGACTGGGTTTCGGGCTCGATCCCCAGTAGAGGGTGTGCAGGAGGCAGCCAATCGATGATTCTCTCTTATCGATGTTTCTAACTCTCCCTCCCTTCCTCTCTCTAAAATCAATAAAAGCATATTTTTTTAAAAGTGCCATATATTTAGACAGCCAATCAAGAGTTAAGATAAAAGGACCTCAATGAAATCTGATAGACTATGAAACTGATTAGCCAGGGATTTACTATTAGGTAGCAATCAACTTGGAAAAGTGTGAACTTACCAGGGGAGGAAAATGATTACATTACTATACATATTTGCAAACTTAAATCTTACTTTAGGTTTTCTAACTGGAATATATAACATTTTATCTTCAGAAAGTCACCTGAAAATGAAGAGCTTATTTTTAAGTAAATCTCAGAATGGGCAAAACCCCTGCCTGAACAATTACTACCCAACCATTCCATAATTAATCCTTGTCCCTTAACTTCCAGAGATGGCTTTCATTTGATGATACCCAGTTAAAACAAAACCTCCCAAGTCTCTCTGAAATGAGAATATGACTAATCTAAATAATTAAATTTCTTGAATTAAAGCCATGGCTTTTCCAAAACAGCTTGGATAGGTGGTTATTGTAATAAACCCCTAAAGTAAGTTTTGAAGAGTAACAATGAAGACACCAAATGATAGAAAAAAAATTGCCTGACACAGAAGTCATGGACCACACTGATAGAAGCTAAAGAATGAAATTAATGATGCATGTTCTTAGAATGCACTCAGAGAAGCCTCTTTTTCCAGCAGAGCAGGCCCATTCAATCAAGATCCTATTTAAAGGCAAGCCCCCCCCCCCCCATGCTCTTCCTTGAGCTCAAAGCATTCAGGGTGCACCCCTCTCCCATTGCATTTAAGACATTTTGATGCATTTTACTTTAATGATCCTTTACATGCACACACCCCTCCCTCCTTGAGAACAAGATCTAAATTTTATCCATCTTTGAGTCTCCAGAGATTGCCTTTGGGTTGACACCCAAGTGACTACGACTGTCATTTTGTCTCGCAAATTTTGGTAGGAAAAAATATAACTAATCCCACAGGAAGTTCTATCATGTGTAAAAAGACATTTTACAAGATGTATCCTGGAAAACAGAAACAATTCAAATAGTGTTTGGAAAAGTGGCATTAAAACATGTATGACAAACTTAGGGGTTGACCCTTAAAAACATACATTCACAGAAGCCTATTTAACCCTGAAAAATCCCAAATAAAGGGTACATTAATTCGAAAGGTACATTAATCCAGACATTAGTCTTTAGTTTTCAAAGAATTATCCCCTAAGTGTCTGAAGACATTTTCGTTAGTCTAAATTTCAATACGTGCAGACGTGGCAAAGTCAGAATTAAATTTTTCACTTTTAACCTAACAATTGATTAGGGAAGCATGCAACCTTAAAAACGAGGAAAAGGACCCACCTTTTCCCTTATAATATTGGAATTCAGTCTTCAAGTATTTAAAGACCTCAACAATTACGACCTTACGTTATCTGAGGATAAATAAACACGGGCGAGATGTGCACCAGAGCTTGCCCAACACCCGAGAGACTAAAGTTGGGGGGATTGTCTAACGTCGGCTTCAGCACAACTCGAGACGGCTGCCGAGGACCACGGGGATCCGGGTGCCCCACGGACCGGAACACCGCGGGCCGCGGAGGAGAGACAACATCTAGTAGTGTGCTCTAGCAGCGGGCGGGAGCCCGCTGCCCGCCCGGGGGCCCATCGCCGCCTGCC